TTATCTGTTCTTTGAGCCGCGACTTTATAAGATCCACCCAGGTGTCTTTCCTTTTCGCTTAGTTTACCTACTTGAGCATTAAAGTCACCAGCCACTATTACTACATCTGAACGCCTAGCTTTTCGGAGAAGGTCGGAAAGCTTTCTGTAAAACTCATCTTTTACATTATCTGAGCTGCAGTCAGTGGGAGAGTAGGCAGAGACGACGAAGAGTCAACGACGAGTGTCCCTATCTTTTCGAGTCCTTACTGTTCCGTTTAGTCGGACAGCACACAAACGGCTGTCTACTGGGATCCAGTCTAAGAGAGCTAGTTCTGCCCTAGGACTCAATGCTATACCTACGCCAGCGAAGCCACGGGAAGCAGCATCAGGGCTTCCAGATACACGAAGCGTAAATCGAGTTGGTTCGTTACTTTGACATGGTGCGGTCAAATGAATGACACTACTAGGATCCTGTGTGCGCGTTTCGCAGACGCAGCACACATCAATGGAGCGAGATTCTAAAGTCTTAGCTAAGCAAGCCTGTTGTCCTATTTGGCACAGTGTTCGGACGTTGAAAGCTCCTACGTGTAGTTTGGAGCGTGGTTTCAGGAGACCAGGAATAACATTCCGCGTACTCGAATCGTTCGCACTAGCGGGGCGAGGTGATAAAGGGAAGTAAGAAGGGTTAGTCGTGGAGATAAGAGTTATTAGGAGGTGTAGGAAGGATTTGAATGTGACCAACTTGGTCTCGTGTGCTGTTACGGGTATGAGGGCTGATATTACTTCCCGGTTGCCCACACCGTGGAAGGGTATTTCTTGAGGGACCTGGAAAGGAAATCGGATTAGTGTTGGCCTTAGCGACCTGAGTGCGTGACCGCAGAGCCCGAGGGACAACTGCTTGAGGCCGGTCGCGCACGGCCTTTTTGTGGGAGGTTTTTAATGTGTTAGCTCCGTTCTTCAAAGCGCCTTGCCGCCGGAGACGGAAATCCGTGGGGTAAGGTGAGGTGTGGCATTTTTAGGGTCAACCTTTTCTAACCCCTTCCTTCCTTGTGAGAAGGCAGCATCGCTGCAGATGCTGGTTGTCCGAGGGAAACACTTTACTGCTGTCACACCTCTGTACAGTCAGCAGTACGACTTCGCCCTCAGACCTTGAGTTGCTGCTTTTAGTCTTACCGTTCTCCAATCGACCTGCCTGGCACGGTAGAACCTGCAGGAACATGTGTTCCAGCCAATATAGCTCGGTTAGGTCATCACGATAGGCAAGCCCGACCACCACGTCAAGGTAGCAGCTACAGTCGGGAGTGGAACTCGTCACTGTACATCAACTTCATTGATTATGAGAAGGCATTTGACAGTGTAGATAGGAGAACGTTATGGAAAATTCTTCGACACTACGGAGTTCCTGAGAAGATTGCCAACATTATCCGGAACTCATTCGACGGACTACAGTGCAAAGTATTGCATGGAGGACAGCTGACAAATGCATTCCAAGTAAGGCTGTCTACTCTCTCCCTTCCTCTTTCTTCTGGTGGTCGACTGGATTATGAAGACCTCGACATCTGAGGGAAAACACGGCATACAATGGACAGCTCAGAACCAATTAGAAGATTTGGACTTCTCAGATGACCTAGCCCTCCCATCCAATACACACGAACAAATGCAGACAAAGACAACCAGCATAGCAGCAGTCTCTGCATCAGTAGGCCTCAAAATACACAAAGGGAAAACCAAGGTCCTCAAACACAACACGGAGAACAGCAATCCAATCACTCTTGATGGCGAAACTCTTGAAGATGTGGAATCCTTCACATACCTGGGAAGCATCGTCGACAAACAAGGAGGTTCGGATGCAGACGTAAAGGCGAGGATTGGCAAAGCAAGCACAACATTCCTTCAATTAAAGAATATATGGAACTCAAAACAACTTTCAACCAATATCAAAGTCAGAATCTTCAATACGAACGTCAAGGCAGTTCTACTGTACGGATCTGAAACTTGGAGAATTACAACAACCATCATCAAGAAGGTACAAGTATTAATCAATAGCTGTCTACGCAAGATACTCAACATCCATTGGCCGGATACCATCAGCAACAGCCTTTTGTGGGAGAGAACCAACCAGCTTCCAGCGGAAGAGGAAATTAGGAAAAGACGATGGAAATGGATAGGACATACATTGAGGAAATCGTCAAACTGCATTACTTGGAATCCTGAAGGGAAGAGGAAAAAAGGAAGGCTAAAGAACACATTACGTCGGGAAATAGAAGTGGATTTATTTATTTATTTGAACACATAAATATTGGTACAGGGGGGCACCAAATATATATGCGCCACACTACATACAATTTTCAACCAGGCAGTGGCTCGAGAACGTTTAGATAAAGCTGAATTTTCACCATAGGCGAGCTGCTGTCTAGGTCGAAACGGATACATAAAGTAAAAATAAGAGAGGGTGAATAAATGACGTGGTAAAATAATAATAATAATAATAATAATAATAATAATAATAATAATAATAGTACGAGTCATTTCAATGTTAATCAGATAGAAAGGAATATTTTCCATAAGCAAATAGTTCATCATGATTTTAGTGCGTGGGCTGAGATACTGCCCGGGTGCCCAAACCGAAGCAGGTGGTTTTCTTAGAGGGCCACACCCCGAGCCTTCGACCTAAAGGTCTAGTGCACAAGGCAGTGGAGCATCGTGAGGAGATGCAGTCCCATTGAAGCCGGTGACCAAAAGTTGGTTCACACGCCATTTGTTCCCGCATGATACTGGAGCCCATATGCACCATTGAATTGGGATCCGGTTATAGCGCCGGACATTCGCTTTTCATCCTCTCATTTTCGTAAACAACAGTAATGCCACGAGAAGGCAGTGAGTAGGACTTCCCTGGCAGAGGCTGTATACGCGTGGCCGTGTGAGAGTATTTCGAGAGGGAGGGCAAACCCTCCCCGCTCTCGGTCATACCAGGGCATTTGGGGGCATAGAAGCGGATATGAAAGGGATGAATAAGAGCTGGAAAGGATTGCCTAGGACAGGGTTGGATGGAGAATGCTGGTAAGCGGCCTATGCTCCTTTACGAGGAGTAACCGGCAAAAGTAAGTAAGTAATGACGCACTAAACCGTCTTGTTTTAATATACGTCTAATAATCTTCATCGGAAAATTATTAAATTGTAAGATACTAATTACATTACAATCTAAGAATGGTAGCTCACGTGTTCATTTTCATTCGTGAATTTGATGTGAGATGAAAGTGTATTTATCCGTTTTGAAAAAGATCTTAGATGAGTCTTTTTTATCACAACAAATGTATCATCTACATATCTAAGCCAAACTCGTGGTATAATGTCGTGGGCGAAAATATTTGATCCTATGTGTGCCATAAAAAGGTTGGCTACAATCGGGGACACGAGGGACCCTATTGCTACACCGTTAGTTTGTTTGTATAACATCCCGTTAAAAGTAAATAGAGTCGAATTTAAGCAGAGTTTTAAGGATCTCATGATTAGATTTCTGCTCAAAGGACATCTGTCAGAAAGGGTATTGTCGTTCCCTAGTAAACCACTAATAAATTCTAAGCATTTATCAATGGGAATATTGGTGTATAAAGAAACGACATCAAAGCTTACCATGACCTCGATAATTAATTGTCTTGTAAACATCGTTTATTAAATATTCTATGACAGAAACTTGACCAGTCATGAAATCACTCTACTAGAAAAAGGATTAAATTTCAATGGATCTCACATCAAATTCACGAATGAAAATGAACACGGTGAGCTACTATTCTTAGATTGCTTAGTGAAAAGAAATCTAAATTGAATTCTAAATCTATCCATCTACCGAAGGCCTACACACTCTAATCGTTATATTGACTTCCATTCAGCACATCCTTTCAGTGGTAAGATCCCTCTAGCCTTAAGTCTTTTTCGAAGAGCTAACAAGATCATCACATCAGAACACAAACAAAAAGAACAAAAGAATGTAATTAGTATCTTACAATTTAATAATTTTCCGATGAAGATTATCAGACGTATATTAAAACAAGACGGTTTAGTGCATCATAATAATAATAATTCGAATGAAATGCCATGGATTGGTACTGCAGTTTTACCATACCGTCATGGCACAACAGAAGAACTCCCAAGAATCTTAAAACAACACAGAATTAAAGTATATTACAAAACAACGAACATACTTTGAAATAATTTAGTTCGCTTAAAAGAAAAAATCCCTTTCATGTCCACACAGAACTGCGTCTACAAATTAGGTTGTATCGATTGTGATGCCTTCTATATTGGAGAGTCATCTCGAGAAATCTTGACTAGAGTCAAACAACATATTAGGTACACAAAGAAACCTCCTAACAATCCCGTAGAATTGGATAAACTTCAAAGTAAATCGGCAATAGCAGCTCATGCCATTTTCAACGACCACCAAATTGATTTCAAAAATATCAAAATATTGCGAAAAGGCTTTTCCAATTACGAAGAAAGGAGAGTAGTTGAAGCGTTCCATATAATGCTTAATCCTACTTCTCTCAGTAGAAAAGAAGGCCTTACCATACATCCTACTTGGACTATCTATCCTAGCCATTCAGTCTGATCTTATTTACAATTCACACTATCATCTTACAGATTAAGCTCTATCCTTTCTCACCATAAATGTCACACAATTTCTCACCCTTAAACTGTACACACATACATACACACGAGTTGACATATATATCACTTAGGAATCACCTTGGCCGAAATGACATGACATTAACTTGTTCAGACCTGTTTTTGACTGATCACATATTATTCTTATTGTTCCGTTGTATTATTTAAACTTGGATTAGTTTTAATTTGGTTATTTATTCTCTGAAGAAGTGACTTACACTAAGTCACGAAACGTCAGAAAATCTAATTTTTCTACTCATTGGGATGTTACAAATATAATATTTACTTATGTATACTTTTACTTATTTTTAAAATCTTTGAATAATCAAATTTTTCTCAACTATTTATACTTAGATAAGGATGACGAAAATCCGTCCAGCTTCTCGTCTCGAATTTTCAGTTGATAAGCGTTTGAAAATGAAGATGTATGATATGTCTTTTCTCAGAGAAGCTCAGATTTGTAATATAACAAGGGATTCTTTATCATGTTGTATCTACTTTGTATGTATAGTCGCTAAAATGATTATTGAATAATCCACTGTTTGCAACTTTGTTTGGAACTTCAATTGTTTGGTAAATAAATATCTTATTATAAGTTTAGTTAATATTGCTAGTGTTGTTGTGCAACCGAAATATTTTTGTCTAAAAAGTGTATGCAACAAATGTCTGCTCTACATTACCTTGATCAACATACGGAACTCATCGTCTGCAAATAATTGAAAGAGGAATTCAATAAACAATTAGTCAACAAACTCCAAACCCACTAGAATGAATGTTTTAACTACATACATCAAGACAAATATTCCATCCTTATCTTAATTGCATAATATTTAAAGTGTATTTTGGATTGTAATTTTCGCCATTATGTTTTCTATCCAACAAAACTGAGTAAAATTCTGTTGATTATTATTCTTTGTTTGGACATCTTCCATTACACAAACGTTCTATAGACTCTGTTAAGAACGGATTTTAAAATCCTAAATGGGAGCACATTTAAATTTTTTTTAAACCACATTTCTAATAACAGATACTTAGGCCCTCATATGTTGTAGTGAATATGCAATCCGCACTTAATCAGTTGGCAATCAGTGTCCGTAGGTATGGTATGTGCTTTACACCTTCGAAGTGCAAAGTACTTCTACAAGAATGGCAGGATTCTAATCCTGTACTCACTCTGGATGGTGAACAGATAGAAGTAGTCGAGAAGTTCGTGTATCTAGGTAGCTGCTTAAGTGCTGGTGGTGGCATGAGTGATGAGATCAATGCACGTATAGTGAAAGCCAGAGCGGCTTATGCCAATCTGGGCCATCTTTGGCGGCTTCATGATGTTAGTCTGGCTGTAAAAGGTCGGATCTACAACGCGTCGGTGAGAGCAGTTTTGCTCTATGCTTGTGAAACCTGGCCTCTCCGAGCTGAGGGTGTTTGACGACTCTCTGTGTTCAATCATCGTTGTCACCGAAGGATTGCTGATATCCAGTGGCAACACCATGTTAGTAATGCGGAGGTTCGGCATCGTGTGTTCGGGCACAAAGACGACAATCCAATTGGTGTCACCATCTTGAAACACCGACTTCGGTAGCTTGGACATGTTCTACGAATGTCGTCCCAGAGAATTCCTCGTCGTGCATTATTTGCCGACTCTGGGACTGGTTGGGAAAAGCGGAGAGGTGGTCAGTATATGACATGGTGTCGTGGTATGAAAGAAAGCTGCAAAGGACTAGCTTCTGTTGGTCCTTCGCGACTCCCTGGCTGGGGTCCGAGAGATGGTGTAACACAGTGGCTAGAGAAGTTATCAGATATGGCTCAGAATAGAAGCCAGTGGCGATCCTGCTGTAACCTTCTTTTACTTTTTTCGTAAAAAGTGGTTGCTTCTTCCTTAGCTGAAAGATCTCTCCTGATTGTATCTTTTTGTTTCCCCCATTATTACTACTATTACACTACCTTACACTAATCTGTTTGTTAGTCTTTTTTTCTTCCCTTCCCTTTAAATTCTCATTGTTTTGTGTGGCGCATAAATATCTGGTGCCCCTTGTACCAATATTTATGTGTTCAAATAATGAATTGTAATGTAGTGAATGGAATGTTATTGGTTACTAAGTGTGGACAAATAGGCATTCTATTTTCTGACTATCGAATATGTGATCTCCTTTCCTCTAATTGATTTTGACTCCGAACTCAATGAAAGTGACTATTTGTGATTGTGTAGAATAAAGTATTGTCTAGTGTTACTCGGCTTTTCCCTTTTTGATCCTGAATCAGGTATCTGATATAGTTTTATGTAGTCGTATATTGTATCGTTCGAGTATCCAATCTAGCGGTATTATAAACCCGGTCCAGCCTTATTACCATATTATCGTAGTACTACAGAGTGAAAAATATTTACATTCAATCTGTTAAATCAGGGCTATATGAAACAGTTAAGTAGTCACGCAGATTTCATTGTTTTTTATTGGTGTTGATAGCCAGTGAGTTGAGCTTATTCTTTTTGGTGAATATTAGAACTGTAAAAATCAGTAATAAGACTTTCTGAAAACTTATGCTATGGTTCTCTGATTGAAGTGACTTCTCGTGCGAGTTCGACAAATTCACGAGACATGTTCTCTTAGACCAACAGTTCGCGCTTACTTTGTTGCGCACATGGCAAAATCTCATTAAAACATAGTGCATCCGATATCTGGTCATTCAAACTAATGATTGATAAAATTCGATTAGGACTAAGAACTGAGCCAATATGATATTGTTTATGATTTCAATTCACCAAAACAATTTTAATCAACATTCTCATTAAACATGAAATTAGGATAGAATCTGTTCAGGGTTGTATTCATCTTCAAATTCTTGGGAGTGGTTGTACATCATACTACAAATTCAAATTAACTAAGCTCAAAATTGCTCCTTTATTGAAGCAATGACAACCTAAATTTTATTTTCTTATTACTGAGAGAATTGTCCTTCACATCCAGTAACGGGTCGAAATTCGTAGTTCAATCAAGAATGCAAAATATTTCATCCCAAGTTCACTTTATCAGTAAATTTCCGAGAATCTGCAAATATTTGTCACGATCTGTGCGCAAGACTAATTCACTACCATTGCATGTACTAAGTGTATCGAAAATATCCTCTCTTCTGCGATTGTCTTGGAAATGCTTTCACCAATATTTATTATCGTAGTTTACTTGGGAGATTATACTATCATTAAATGTCCAAGCACTCTAATAAGTGAACCTAATCAAAACTTGCCTTATACTCTATTGACTACAAGTCAGTCAGTCAGCTGCAATGTAGGACCAGGCACGTATATGCATCGGTCCAAGTTGCCGCGCAGTATACTCGTCCCTTAATTGATAGACGGATATCTCGCCTGCGCCATAGATGACGTAAGTTGGCAAAGGCTAAACGAGCTTTTCGAATCCTTGCTGAGATTTCGTCAGACACCAACCCATTAGGGCTGATCAGACTTCCAAGATAAGTGAAGTTGTCAACGCGTTCGACTACTTCACTCCCTATCCTTAGTTCAGGTGTTGATGCAGACCAGTCCTGAAGCAGCAACTTGCATTTAGAGGGGGAGAAGCGCATCCCAAACATTCTGGCATTGTTGCTCAGTGCTACCAAAAGACACTGCATTTCATCAGCGTCTTCACCAAACAGGCCTATGTCATCTGCGTATTCTAAGTCAAGGAATACCACCATTGTCGGACGCCGATAAGTATGCCTGTGTTCTAGAACCTGACGAGTGGTGAATATGTGGTCGATGAAGCCACGACCAGGTTTGAAGCCAGCTTGATTTTCTCGTATTTGCAGTTCACGAGTCTTAGTTAGGCGTCCGATAATTACCTAGGCTAGTATTTTAGATACTATATTAGTCAAACTAATCCCTCTGTGGTTGTCACACGATGATTTTGATCCTTTCTTAAATATTGGGACGATAAGTGATTGTGACCAGTTAGATGGGATAACGTCTAACTCCCAGATTTTAGCTAAAATATTAGTCAACCTAATCGCTAAAACTAGACCACTATCCTTAAAGACCTCTGGGGCCAATCCATCTGGACCAGCTGCCCTTCCTCGTTTCAGATTAACTATAGCCTTTTGAACTTCAGTTAGAGATGGGGGACCTACTTCAATGTTCCATTCACACTGTCTGGGAATAGAGGGTAGTTGTAGAGTAGCTGAAGGCCAGCTAAACTGCTCCTTAAAGTGTTCCGCCCATCGTTCTAAGCGTCTGGACTGGGAGCAGATGAGAGTGTCGTCTTTTTCCGAAATGGTCTGACTTACACTTGATTTATTAATTCTAGTTTCTTTTATTAGTCTGTAGAGTTGTCTTGTGTTCCCTATAGCCGCCGCATTTTCCATCTCTTTTGCTTTCGTTGCCCACCACTGCTCACGATCATTCTTTAGACTTTTGCTTAATCTAGATCTGATTTCTTTACGCTCTTCATCGTATTCAGAACCTGATGGGATGAGTTTGCAAAAATCTATCAGTGCAATAGACCTTGACGAAATCCATTGGTTCTTTGTAACCCTGTGGTTTAAATCACTGGTAGATGTCACTGCTGTTTCCACAGCTGCTTGTATAACTTTCCAAGCAACATCTGGGTCAGCCTTGTTTTCAGAACTACCTAAGTGTGACCTTAGTTGTTCCTGGAACCTACTTTTGGCTTTCTCATTACTCAATTCGGTTCTAATGAATCTTTTTTGTGTGGCTCTTTTGCGTGCAGTGAGGCGCAAGCAGATGCGTGCTCGTACTAGGGCATGATCAGAGTCCAAGCAGGTACCCCAGAATGAGCGACAATCTTCTATCGACCCTCTCTAACGATAACTGATGGCAATATGGTCTATTTGAGTCCATCGTTGGTTTGGTGCAGGGGGTCGCCATGTTAGACGATGTCTCTCCTTATGCTTAAAATTTGTGTTTGCTAAAAATAAACGATTGTCTGAGCACAGTTGCAGCAGACGATCACCATTATCTGTTCGCTGTGCCGGAATACTAAAATACCCACACAAATGTCTTTCTGTTTCGTTTAAGCTACCTACCTGGGCATTAAAGTCAACTCCTACAAGTACTATGTCTGAACGTTTAGCTTTCTGAAGAAGGTCAGACAGCTTTTTGTTAAATTCATCTTTCACTTCATCCGTACTGCAGTCAATGGGAGCGTAAGCAGAAACGACGAAAAGGCAACGACGTGTGTCCCTATCCTTCCGAGTTCTTACCGAGCCGTTTAGCCGAACAGCGCATAGACGACTGTTTACGGGGATCCACTCTAATAGCGCTTGTTCCGCCCTCATGCTAAGTGCTATGCCTACACCTGCCAGTACACGAGAATTAGCCATCGGGTTGCCAGATACACTGAGGGTGTATCTCGTCGGCTCTCCGTTTTACCGAGGTGAGGTCAAGTGAATGACCACGCTAGGATCCTGTATGTGTGTTTCGGAGACACAGCATACATCAATCGTACGAGATTCTAAGGTTTTAGCCAAGGAAGCCTGCTGACCGATTTGGCATAGTGTGCGTACGTTGAAGGCTCCAATGTATAGTTTGGAGCGAGGTTTCAGTAGACTTGGGACAGTGTTTTGCGCACTAGAATCGTTGGCTGTGGTGACACTTGAGGAGGAAGTCAAAAGAGAAAGTTTAGATTTGAAAGTCGATGTAGGTGGAATAATAGGAATTGAAGAGGTAGGTTGATTATGAATACAGTGGTCTTGAGTGCTGTTAGAGGTATGAGGGCGGTTATCACTTCCCGGTTCTTCTAGAGGTACCTGAAAAGGAAATTGGACTAGAGGTGACCTGAGAGCGTGACCGCAGTGCCCAAGGGACAGCTGCTGAGGTCGGTCACACACGACCTTTTTATGAGTAATTTTTGTGTTAGCTCCGTACTTGTTGAGACCTTACCGCCGGAGACGGATATCCGTGGGATAAGGCGAGGTGTGCATTTTTAGGGTTGACCTTTTCTAACCCCACCCCTCCTTGTGGGAAGGCAGCATCGCTGTCATGCTGGTTGTCTGAAAGAAACACCTTACTGCTGTCACACCTCTGTACAGTCAGCAGTACGACTTCGCATTCGGACCTTGGTTTTGTTGCTTTTAGTCTTACCGCTCTTCAACCGACCTGTCTGGTATGGTAGGACCTTGAGGAACGGTTGTTCCAGCCAGTATAGCTCAGTTGCTTCATCACGATAGGCAAGCCCGACCAACACGTCAAGGTAGCAACAACGGTCAGGAATTGACTACAAACATTACTCTAATTTTACTGTTTGCTACATTATTGTAAGAATGTATACAGAATAGCAAATCAGTTTAGAAAATCTTCACTGAGAAACGATTGATAAAATAGATGTAAAAGGAAGTTTATTGCGATGACTTTCTATCTTCTTACTCTTTGTTTTCATTTTCTTCAAGTTTGGACGCTAATACGAACTTTGTGACTTGACTGAAACCATCTAACATTACAATACTTACTTTCTTGACCTTCATAAAGATAACATCATGTAATAATGAACACGGAACTGTCGTAAGACACCAAGTTGTATTCTATTAAATAAACTATTCAGTGTAACTCCCATAACAAAAGTACGGCATCCATCGTTCCGAAACGCAGTACACTATATTTGTGCTACTTCTCTACAGTACACATGTTTTTCATACACTATTTATTAAGAATAACCCCATGGTTAAAATATCAATAATTATTATGTCATGTATTACGAAAATAATGTTGTACTTTAACATGATGTCACTTCTGACCAAAGATGTTTTTCATGATAGCAAAGGAGGTCCAACTGGAATTCCCATTTAAATATCAGCTGATAGTCTACTAAATAAACTAATTTTAAAAGATTACTGGAATAAAGATAAACTGCCACTAGAGATAACATTTACAAGTTCATCTTATAAATCAGAAAAAACCATGCGAAAACAAAAATCGTAAAGGCTGAATAGTTAACTAAAAAAAGTAACTGACGGTTAAACACAACTCTTAATAATTCTAAATTTTTAAATTAACTTACTAAGCAACCTACAAATCTTGAAGATATTCATATCCTATGAAGTTGGTGGTATTTCATAAAATGAGTTTAGACGGTGGCATTAGTACGATGAGAGTTCAAAATTAGTTGTATTATTATAAGCAATACTGGAAATCATAATAATGTGGGTAGAGAATACATGTTGAGTCACGTAAATCAACGAAATTTTACCACTGCTAAAAAAATAAATAGACATCACATTAAAATTCAATTTGCTGTGGTTTGAATTATTCCATTGTTGATGTTCCTAACTGAAATTTTGGTCAGTATCAGTTAGTGTGCGCATATTCTATAACGAGTCAGAAATTGAACAAAACGCGCGTCTTGGATTCAATTGCTAGTTATAGTCTTTCTCTTATGGGACGCATTACACTGGGTACTGCTAAGTAATGATCAATCAGTAAAGAAAACAAGGGTTCTTATTAATTCAACCAATAAGATATCTTTCATAAAACTAAGATATTTTCAGGGGCCTGGAACGGATAAATTTTGCTCAGTTAGTGGGATTTCACTTTTATGTATCTATAAGAAACAACTAATAATCGCGATTTCCTCCCGCAACGGTAGCGTACCAATCACGTTCGAATACTTTCTCCCATTAATCTATTAAGGTAGTGAGTGCTTTCGCACGAATAAATGCTAGTTGAACACAGTGACGAATTACAATTTTAGGAATTCAACAAGAAGATAGGTTATCTATTCATTAACGTATAAGGTTTACAAAAAACAGTAGTTTATACCGATAAATTAAAATATTTAGAAAAATATGTGTAAAAATATATTGGAGGAAATTATTGAGTTTGAAGTCATTGAGTGATATGTATCAAAGAAATTGTGACAATATCAGATTGAATTCTTAGAGTTTGTTTTCCATCTCCATATTTACAATTCGCCTGCTATAACTAAATTTACATATCTTGCGGCTAATGATGGGTCCCATTCAACGCTCTACAATATATGGAACAATGAGATAATTACCAAAACAATTTCATTAAATTGCAACACAAAAAGTATTATATCACTGTTTAAACTTAATAAACGAGTGGCAACTTGTATATTTTTACATAGAAGCGTCTTAAGTCCCATGTTTGGAGCCTGGACGATAGCCTTAAGCTGAAGACTTTTAAGTAGATTCTCTAAAATCGGTTGTAGGATCTCACAATCTCTGTTTCCCGCTGAATCTTAGCTTTAGCATCGTCTTTAACTCTTCGTTTCTCAATCTCATTTGTTTCTTTGAAACTATATTTCTTGTGCTGAGATTTTTATTGCATTTTGTGTTATTTCCCTTCCTACTCTATTCATCTTATTAACCCCTGGTCATCTTGTCGTGGCAACGTGTACGGATACAAATCCATCCTCAGTTATGTGTTAATTGTAACTGGCTGATTTATCCTGATGTTGGACTAGTCAGAGTACGCCATGCAATTATTTTTTCTATTGTGGTTTCAAATGAATTGAAATGTGCATAAAGTGTTATATTTTGTGAATGATCAGTTTTTACAATCAAAGTTCAAATAATCACTTTTTATAATCTCTCAACTTGGTGATATAAGGTAATTGGAGGCAGCAATCGGTACTTGTTAACTGTTCCTTTTCTACCATTTAATTCATTCATTATTATCGTATCATTCTACTCAGTCATATCAATTGATCCATTTGTTGTTATTTTTCCTTATATTTAGTCTGTAGCATTTTTCTATCCGGTAACATATTTACTGTCAGAATCCCATGAATCCAAGTAGTATATTGTCATGAATACTGCCGTCAGATTATTCTAATATTGCAAATACTTATAACCTATCTAAAATATTTTAGAAAACCAAATAATCTGATTAGATATCTGAAACTTGGTTTGCTGTAATATACTTTCGAGTTTAATAATAAGAACTAGAGACGTCGTTGGAACGAAAGAATATTTTAATACTAATTTATATCCTAAATGAACACTTTAAACATCTTTTTCGATGAAAAGCATTTAGGAGACTTTAGGAAATTCAATGAAACAAAATGCAATGAATTTATTTTATTCTTTAAATCGTTTAACTATTGGCCTATTGGTGATGAAGAACTGAAGTTATAACAATAGCTTGATAATGCAATCACAGTTAAATAAACATATCAACTGTATGAATGTAAAACAATACATGAAGTAAATATACAAACCTTAGAGAATAGCTGATCAGCTAATAATTCATCTTTTTGTACACCTTTACCACTTTTTAAACATAATGCATAAAGAAAACATGCCATTGACATAGCTCGATACTGAAATGCTTGTATACATTCCGATGTTGTCACAAAATTATCACAAGTTACCATTCTGTAATTAAAGAGTATAGAAAGATATATTTACAAAATAATCAAATGTTAATTAGGTTTTCAAATATAATGTATGTTTATGAATTACTTGGAATTGGCAAAATATTCAAATAAGATAAAAGATAATTTTCGTGTATTTCCATCGTTTTTTATGATATTGAAGTTACTCAAATCAATTTTCAGTTTGTGGTAAAGAACAGTGGATAAAGGCATTTGTGTTAGGTAAATAATTGTTCTTCGCGTTTTGACGAAACTCTTGTGAAACAAAAACGTGAAATTGTATTTGGGTACATAACAACCGAGTCAGATTATTGGATCACAAATTACATTCACTTCTCGAATACGAAGTCATCCTTCAGTGTGTGTATTTGCCTACTAATATACCCTATTTTACTTAAAATAGTTTTCATATTTTAATCAAGTATGGCATTTGTTGATGATAATTGATTCAAAAGTAATAAAATCTATATTTGATAGTTATAGTAAGAAATTATCCGAAACTTTTCTCCGTCATCAACGAAAATTATTTTTCTGCTAAATATTAGATTTTCACCAAGATTTCATAGTGATTATTTAAGCACAACCAGAAATGACTAAATGGTATTTCTAGTTTGATTCTGTTGATTCTAAGTAGTCTACACTCATAAAAATCTTCACATTAAAAGTAAAGATGTGAGATAGTCTTCCACAGAATACTGGTGTTCAGCCTGCAGATAAGTATGACTAATTCGAGTCGGAACTTATTACTTTTGTATTATATCAATTTTTACAACTGAGTCGTGATTCATATTATGTCGTTAATCGATTGAAATAGTAAATTTCAACTAATGTGATTCAGAAGGCTTGATGGATATAAGTTATATTTTAAGAAGTGCTTTAGATATATACTACCAGATTTGCTGAGCAGTAGAAGGAAGCTTAGTTTTTATTACCTTTTACTATAAATAAAATTCCGCGTTGAAGTTGTCTATTATTCCCGTTCAGCAATAAACTAGACAGCAGAGTCAAGTTCCAGAAGAATACATAATTAGCTGGTTCCTAGTGTTGAGTATATTTAGAAAAAAATTCTTAATATATGTTCACATCAGTAAAACTTTTAATGAGGCAAGGACAATGGGAATTTACTTTATGATTTAAACTTGAAATTCATTCGTGACATACAGAGGATTCTTTCGAATACTAATCTCTTCACTTCTATTAGGAGCGATTTCGTGAAAATATCGGTTAGGAATTTTGAAATTACTAATAGTACTCCACTAAACGTGTACAAAGTGACTGAATTTAAATTAGAAATGATATTTTAATAATAACGTCAACGAACTTGACCACTAAAGATAAAAAAAGTTCAGTAACTATTTAAATGGTCTAAAAAATAATAAAATAATGAATCATTCCTCCATTCGACCACTAAAATAAAAATAATTCGTAAAATATAAAAGTTACGTCGAATAGAATAAAGTAAATATGTGGTATAAGCTACTTATATTGACAGATATAAGTAATATGTAATACAAATCAGAAGTGGAATACCTGGCAGCAGAATATTGAATTGAAGAGAACACAAATGCAAACAGAGATTAATTGTAATAATAACAGAATTGAAGGAATCAAGAAAAGGATAACTGATGGAAGATGTGCAAATAATGCATTTGATGAATATGTAGTGACCTACGTTTGTCAACAGAACGCGATTGGTTTAATGGCAACAATCATTATTATAACCAATTGTACCAGTGATTGTTTTACAGTGCTCGTTTGTTTAACTGTGCTTATGACAGCCATAGTGCTCTTTCATTATCCTCCATTACTCTCCCGTGGACTGTGACCTTGTGCACTCGTTCTTCTGTCCACTAATTCCGCTTGTATTCCTTTTGGCACGATCTCGGTATTCGTTCGATCGCCAACAAATAATCTGGTTACGAACCTTCTTCGCCTTCTGATTTGTCTGGCACGCGCTTTTCTTGTAGTGGTGATCATAGTCAACCGCGACTCGAAGCCACACTACAAATATATATACTATGGTATAGTATAGTATATTAAATTGATTTCTCACACTTGTGTTCTCGTCCATTACAATTACAGTTCCATCGAATAGTTTCAGTTAATTTAAACAACAAACGAGTACAAAAAAAGGAAATTTCTTTAAAATTTGTCGTTATCGCCGAATATTTGTGTTTAGTAAGGAAGAGAATGATGAATCGGAATGCAATATTAAGAATTAATAAAATAAGCACTCACTGTAGTGAAACACCATTCGTTAGTGAAAGTCCGATGATAAAATCTGTACATTTTAAAAGGATTAATATGTTCTGTTGTTGTTAAAGACGAAAGTAACAAGCTGTATTGATATTTAGAAAATAGAGTGGTTTAAATAAAATTAAGAACTATCAGTCGAAAATGAAATGTTCATCCGTTTGTTGTTTTGCTTCTTTTTTAGCTGCATTTTAGTCTCGTCTCCAATTTACAAAAAAATATTCGTTTATATGTAATTAGGATAGACTAGTATCATTACAGACATCTTATTACCAAATTAGAACACTTGGTTAGTTATAGTCTCATAACACAAACCTATCTAGATAAAATACACAATTAAATTAAAGACTGTTTGATATATTAGCGCAATACATTTCGAACAATCTGATCACACATATACTTGTTAAGAGCATTTATATATAAAAATAAAAGGTGAACTAGACTGGAAATAAGTAAGAGGAGATAAGGATGATGATAATAATAATAATAATAATCTGAACACAATTCAAAACCTAATCACTCTGGATAATAAGTCAATATTACCAGGGTAGGTTTAAGGTAAGAACAAACTGTTTGATATATTAGCGCAACACATTTCGAACAATCTGATCTTAACAAGTATATGTGTGATCAGGTTGTTCGAAATGTATTGCGCTAAATTAAAGACTGTTCTTTTAGAGTACATGATACAGGTAATACATTTCAACAATTAAAATTATATATATATTACCTGCTAGCCAAGTAACATACATTTGTAAACATTTTCCGTCGATAGTAAAAATAAATTAAATTTGCTTTAGCATATAAACTGCCTCTGGCTGAAGCTTCAGATAAACAGAATAAAGCATTATCACGATTTTCTTTCACACCTATCCCATATAAATACATTACACCTAATACGGCTAAATAATAAGTAAAAATAAGAACAGCATAATACATAGTAGATGCCATCTTAAAATATTTTACTTTAAGTTTGTTGTGACAAAGTAAAAAGTGAAATAAAAACACTTCAGATGAATTATTTAATAAACTTACTCGTATTTGAACCTTATAATGGAGCGGAACATGTGAGAATGTATATACTACATTTCATCACTGAACAAAGTAGTAATGTTGACCTTTAAAAGAGGTTGTGAAATCCAATTTACACAACTCCATAAGTACTTTAAGCATTTCCGAACTGTTTGTCTACTCAGTCGCAATCATAAACAAGCACGGTATAATGATTTTTCAATCAACTAGCAATTATCATTCACGTGGATTTACGTATGAAAGAGGATTCGAAAAAGTTGTAGCGTGTTTAGGAAACCATTGTTCAGGAACGATGAGAAATCTCATGTAGATATGCAAATATTTGAATGACTCATTGACACTATCATCTGTAATCATATATTAAAGGTTCTAGATTAAGTTTGACTAATTATTTCAAAGCAAAACTAATGTTTCGTACCGATTTTATGGAGAATTACTTCACTTCATCAAACCGTTAAAACAACTAGCTCATACGTATGCATCATAAAGAAAAATTCTGAATACGTTTGTTATTTACATGAACTAAACATTGACAAACCAACAATGTTATATTTTCATAATGTAATCGTGTCTAACAGGATTTCGTAATTTATTCAATCATACAACAACTAAGTTAAAACGATACGGGTCAATAAACTACTAGGTAAGGTAACAAGGAAAACAGCTCATTTGAATTCAGCCCATAATAAGACAGTTTTTCTTTGTAGGTGCTGTTACAAAACAAAATGTATGTAAAATTTATAATTAAAAACTATTACTGTCATAAATTCAATGTCCAATAAAATTTGTCTATTGAATGAAGTCATGAAATAAATATGGTAAACTCTCATTTCAGTAGAAAATAATAAATAACATAACATCACTTTTCCGAACATTTTAATAAGTAAACTGTGAACTCTATCTGAGAATAATTAAAGTTTACAATAATATCTCACAACATAGAGATAAACCTTAATAGTATATATATATATATATGTTTTGTTAAATCCCAATTAGTACAGAAATTGTATTCCTGACGTTTCGTGACTTAATGTAAGCCAGTTCTTCAGTGAAAATACATAATCGAATAAGTAACTTACTTTAAGTCACATAACACTAGAAATACAATTTTTCTGCCCATTGGGATGCCAAAAACATTTATCATTAACATTTTACCCAATGTTTAACTTATTTAAAACTATCAATTCCAATCTTGGCATCGATATCTATAGAGTGTTGATCGGTTCAATTTCTAGAACGGCGCTAAGAACAGTAGGTTTTGCAACACTACATCCAAAGAAGGCTCGTATCAACTGAATCGAACTTCCATCATTAATATACATGATTTACAAACAGTATTAAAGTGATTGTGCACGTCGCCATGTTTAGATGAAGTATAGTTCTATATCAATTATTCAGGAAAATTCTTTCTACCTGCAGTCGTTTATTAATCAGTTAAAAAATCTAAAACGTATGTTATCATTACAATGTATGAATTATTTTCTGTTCATAAGCTAACATATCACTTTACAGGTAATGGAACTTCAACCTAAGAGACTAAATGACAAAAAGCTTTATACAAGACTTGCATTTCTAGATTCAATCTGCCATGAAATTGACAATATACAATGCTGATATCTTTGTAAATAAGGTGAAGAACTATCCTGCTAGGTCCAAGTTTTTAGTTGTTTTTCAAATGATTCCATCTTGCAATTTAAGAAAGTTTGTCTAAAGACTTCCACATCGCCTGTGAAGCAGTTATCCTACGAAAACAGTAGAAAATGATCGCGCAATCATTGAATAGTTAAAGTTAGATATTAACACTTTTGGATGTCGGCTCAGTGGTCTATAGGTTAAGCGTTCTCGAGCGAGACCGAAGGTTCTGAGTTCCGCCTGCGGGACCGTGGATGCTCACTGCTGAGGAGTTGCATACTACGATGAAACAGCCACCCAGTGCTTGCAAGTTTTCAATGGTGGTCTAGCATTGATCGATTCATGATCTCAATTAAAACTTTGCAAGTCATTAAATACCAGTAAAATATTTCCATGAAATTTATTGAAAGTTGTTCCTTTATAAGAATTTAAATAAAGTTTCTGTAGCAAACTACCACCGGCATTTTTCTATAATCGCAATGACATAGTTCTATTTAGTGAAGACGCTGACAAAATGCAGAGTCTGCTGACCACTCTAAGCGACAATGCAAGCATGTTCGGCATGCGATTTTCTCCCTCGAAATGCAAAATGTTGCTTCAGGATTGGGTTGCGTCGACACCCGAACTAGTGATAGGGAGTGAAGTAGTTGAGCGTGTCGACCGCTTCACTTATCTCGGAAGTCTCATCAGCCCTTGTGGTTTGGTGTGTGACGAAATCTCAGCACGGATACAAAAGGCTCGACTAGCTTTTGCCAACTTGCGTCATTTGTGGCGTAGGCGAGATATCCGTCTATCAACCAAAGGACGTGCTTACTGCGCAGCAGTTCGTTCCGTCCTACTTTATGGCAGTGAAACATGGCCAATAAGAGTAGAGGATATTCGTAGGTTACTAGTATTTGACCATAGATGTCTTCGAAACATTGCTCGTATATCCTGGGACCACCGAGCAAATAACTCAGTTGTTAGGAAACGGGTACTAGGTAAGGATGGAAAATCAATTGAGGAAGTAGTGAAACACAATCATTTGAGATGGCTGGGACATGTGTTGCTCATGCCCGACCACCGACTGCCCCGACGTGCTATGTTTTCTGGTGTAGGAGTAGGTTAGAAGAAAGCTAGGGGCGGCCAGACCAAAACATGGCACAAATCCATGAAGTCACTGACAAGTGGACTGAGTCATGTTGGTAGGTGTAGACTACCTGGTTGGGGACCGCGAGACGATAGCAACCGATGGTTAGAGACCTTGAATGGCATGGCTCAAAATCGTTTGCAATGGCGCAGGCGCATCCACTCTTTGTGTTCTATCAAACTCTAATCTTCTGAATTTTTCATGTCCTTTATTTTCTTTCCCAATTTATTCCACTGGACTATACTCCTTTAATAACATCATCAAACCTTAATGTCCCCTATCTCTACTTATACTTTCAGTACCTCTACCACTATGGGATTTGAATCGATAACTGAATCTCTGTGCTAATGTGGTATGGCAACTCAAACTGATGTACGTACGTACGAAGTTCCACGTTGTTACTGACTGACTGACTGCAATGAGTGCTTCATATTTTCAGTGTACTTTAATTTCTTTAGATGGTGGATGGAGGTAGTCTACAGGAAACCCTAGACCCGGGTTTCGTGCTACTTGGAACTCGTCAGGAAGGTGTACCCGTAATCTTGAGAAATCTAGTGCTCTCTGACGGATTCGATCTCGTGTCACTCAGCTTCACAATCAGAGGCGTTACCACTGAGGTATCTGGGCCGCGACCAACCTCCTGTAGGACTGAGATGTAATCACAATTGGTTGATCACTGGGTGGTGATCAATGTCATGTATGTCAAGTCCGTATTAGTGCAGATCGAATGCTATAGATCACGCAGTGTCGAGTCACCTAGACTGGTGGCCACAATGATATGGATTCGTACTTTATTTCCTATACTGCATGTGTTAAGGCATATGATCCAGTAAATAAACGTTGCTAATTGATATATATATATATATATATATATATATATATATATATATATATATATATACATATATATATATATATAAAATCTGGTAAGCGTAAGTAATAATCATATTAAATAAATGAATATACAATGGATGAAAATTATATTATCCAAAAGCCTCTTTAGTCATATTAAGTCCAAGAGAAAAGTGTTAAGTCTTGTAAGGACTGAAAAATTTAAATGAAAACATGTCATAATGGGAACATCGAACTACCGCAGTACATCAGAATACATCTGGGTATCTAACACTAAAATTCACTCATGAACTTGAGGTTTGAAGTTTTAAATTTAGACAATTTGTCAAAAAGAACACAGATGTATAATTCAATGAAAAAATCAGATATCTCCTTTAAATTAATTAATTAGTTGATGTAAATTACATGTATACTTTAGATTATTAATTAATTGATGTCAACTACTGTAGTGATGAAAGCTACTTATGTCGACAGCTATAAGTAATATGTAATACAAATCAGAAGTGGAATACCTGGCAGCAGAATATTAAATTAAAGAGAACACAAATGCAAACAGAGACTAATTGTAATAATAACAGAATTGAAGGAATCATGAAGCATGTAAAGGACAACTGATGGATGATGTACAAATAATGTATTTGGCGAGACTATAATTTATGGACGAACCAATCAGATATAAGACAGCTAGACTTGGATTTTGGTGCGATGTTCATCCGTACATTTGGCTAAATAGCGTCTCGGCATTGTGGATGACGTTAGTTTGTGATGAAAACCCCTAATCTGATTCCTAACCCTAATCATCAACTGTAAATCATAATTCTAATACCTCATACTGGTTTATAACCCCCATTTAGTCGTAGTTAGTAGTTGAACATTCTCAAGGTCACTTTAGCATAGCCCAAAAGTCGTCTATAAATTATGGTCTCGCCATGTATATAATGTATGCTTTTCAAATTTTATAAACCACTATGTAATTTTACATTCAATAATAAATTGGTTTGCCCCTCTAAGTCATCATTTACTTGATTGTCAGTTAGTTGTGTTCGAATTTGATTTAATGACCAAATAACTAAAAGACTTTTATGATTCATCCCTGGCCACTCCGAGATTTGTTGTTACTAAATAATAAACTCTTCATCTTCAATTTTCTGTTCCTTGAGTCGAGTAAATCAGTATTTGTTCCGTATTACAATAAGTATTAAGTAACAGTAATATCCACGGTCACAACAAGCAGCAGTACGGGTAATTTTTAGGTCGTTGCACAACTACTAAAAGCTAATTGATCTTACCTTTTGAATGTTATTTCTTTGTACATTTAGTACTATAATAGTTTTCAATTTTATTTCCCGAGATTTATGTCATATGAAAAGTATGACAATTTTGAAATTCATAACATAATTTAGTTTAACTCAATACAAAATCATATGATAATTTTAGTAGGTGTTATTGTTTTATTCGAAGATTAAATTATGGGTAACTTCCGAGGACTATTTACTTCAACGTGTAAGGAGGTGTTGGGCTGCAAGAGGCATAATCATGAGGAATGTAGCTCTATCGAAATCGTGGACTAGATTCAAGAAAGGAAGACAGAAATTAACAACCGCCGAACAAGAACAAAGAAAGTCAATGCACAAGCTAAATATAAAGAAGCAAACAAGCAAATGAAGAAGAGCATTAAAGCCGACAAGCAGAAATACGTGGATAACCTCGTAGAGACAGTAGAAAATACTGCAAGAGAAAGAAGTATGAAACAACTATATGACAACTGACAAAAAAATTATGGTAAACCAGATGGATCGGTCAAGGACAAAGAAGGAAGCCAACCAATAAAATTCAAGAACAGCGGAATAGATGAGTGAAACACTTCAAGAAACTCTTGAATAAACCAGCTCCATTCAATTTACCGGATACAGAAACAGCACCTAAAGAACCTCCTTCAGAGTAATTCCACCAACGATCGAAGAAATCGGCATGGCCATTAGACAAATCAACGGTGGGAATGCAGCAGGACCTGACAATATACCAGCTGAAGCACCAAAGTCAGATATACAATTAACTACAAACATGTTTCACACTCTATTCAGGAAGATTTGGGAGGAAAAACAAGTGCCGACAGATTGGAAAGAAGCATGCCAAGAATATGATGATACGAAAGGAGATGTGAACAAATGTGAGAACTACAGAGACATCACATTAAAGTTCATGGAAATGTTCTCAACAGTGTTGCTGAACCGGATGAAAGACTCAGTAGACGCCCAACTTTGAGATCGACAGGCTGGGTTCCGTAAGGATCGGTCGTGCACAGACCGAATCGCGACAATACGGATTATCGTTGAACAATCGATTGAACAGAATTCGCCATTATACATCAACTTCTTCGATTATGAGAAAGCATTTGATAGAGTGGATAGTGGGAATTTATGGAAACTTCTTCGACACTACGGAGTATCTGCGAAAATCGTCAACATCATGCGGACGTATGCCAGATGTTTGAATGGGATTCGGACATTCGATCATACGTCTGGCATTAATACTAATTCATTTGATTTGATGAAAATTTCTCATTCAGAGCGCAGCATTATTAATGTCGCCCAAACTGAATGCCCAGAACTCTAATCCGCGTCGCTTTCCAAGGCCTCCCACTAGTTTCTAGCACTGTGGGGCATGACATTTCTTCCGTTTCTGTCCATTTAATAACCATAAATACTAAAAATGTGGAGTAACTGGCCATAGGGCGAGATTTCGCAAATGCACCAAACTTTCATCTCATTATCAAATGTCGAGGAGAATCACTTGTGTGCATCTTTCTCCAAAATCTAAGCTTAACCACCTACGCAATTACATGTCGATCGTATTATTACTCTACGGTTGGACACTGCATCCAATGTTACCTTGATTTCTCACAAAACTTGGCACAAACTTGGTCGGTCAAGCATTCTTCCTACTACCGATTGCATAAAGAATGCGTCGGGCATCCCAATTAAAATTCCTGGAATTATCAAATGTATTGTCAAATTTAATGATCAAATCCAAATTTTATGTTACTGATGAATCCTTCAATCTATTGGGTCTTGACTGGACCACAGAAATAAAAATGTTGGATTGCTCATTTAATCTTATTTGTAATCCAGATTTAGAAATGTTCAACAAATCACCTAATCTTATTTCTAATTAAGTATCTTCCTATTCTCATTTGATGCACAAACGATCATAAGGGGAGGGCACAACAAAGAATCCAGACTCGCCCAACAGTGACTCCTCAACTGAGTCAATGTTCGGAGGGAAGATTCGGAATTCACTTGATAGCATGTATCCAAAAATAAGAAGACGAAATTACAAGCCCAATACGAGGAGAGTGAAACTTCAGTTTTTTAGCGGGTTACTTGTGTATGTAAGAAACTTCCGATAATGGCGGCCTGCGTGGGTAGTAGGTGTTATCGTAAGAAGAGTCCGTGACGTGATGTATAAAATTAACGTTCGAAGTACATGCCTGATGCGGCATATAAATCAAACCTGCGATAGACGATTAAATTCGGATAAAGAACCTCTTAGCTGGAACTTTTCACTAGGTTACTTAATTGATACAGTCAGTCTGGAACGACAAGATCAGTGCAGAAGAAGTGATGACCAGACTTCAAGAACACAGAGTCTCCCTCAATGCCTTCAGTTAAAGCCAAAGAGAAAGACTTATTTTTCAGGAGTGAAAGGTGATATGGTGAGCCAGTGAGAAGTGCCTAATGAGACGATGTGTGGACAAGGGTGACAATGATTGGTTTTTTTTCTTAGTCAGACTTGTAGATAGTCTGACAGGCTTTAGATGAGTTATATATTCTCCTACCCTTATTATTATTGATTGTGGTTGGATTGAGTCGTCTTGTTGTCGGTATTTTGGTGTGCCCCCAAATGCCCTGGTACGGCCGAGAGTGGGAAGAGTCCGCTCTCCCTCTCGAAATGCTCTCACATGGCCACGAGTACATAGCCCCTGCCAGGGAAGTCCTACTCACTGCCTTCTCGTGGCGGGGGTGTTGTTTACAAAAATGAGAGGACGAAAAGCGAATGTCCGGCGCTATAACCGGATCCCAAACCAATGGTGCACATGGACTCCAGTATCCTGCGGGAACAAATGGCGTATGAACCAATCGTTGGTCACCGGTTACCATGGGACTGCATCTCCTTACGATGCTCCACTGCCTTGTGGGTCAGATCTTCAGGTCAAAGGCTCGGGGTGTGGATTCCTAAGAAAGCCGGCTGCTTCGGTTTGGGCACCCGGGCAGTATCACAGCCCTCACACATATCCAATGAGATCTGTGTGGCGCATATGTATTTGGTGCCTTCTTGTACCGATATCTATGTGTTAAAATAAATAATAAATATAAATATGGAAATATAATCACGTCCTAGTCAGGCTAATTACATGTTCTTGATCTGAGTTGTGTTGAAATCCTGCAGAATATAGACCAAAAGGGAATCTAGTGTATATATTCGTCTAAGGTAAATTAACGTCCCATCCGTGTAGACGAAGAAAATCCGAGCGTTATGATAGAGGGTCAATCTATGGCAAGCAGAAGTGACCTGAAGTACAAGTGGATTTCATTAGCTAATATATATATATGAGTATTTGTGGATTTTGTTTGGTAGCCCAATATACTCTCCAAACCACTTTTGTGTTTTCGCTCAAGTAGTCAGTTGGTGGGCTAGCGCATGGCACGTCGTGTATCAGTATCAGATTTCGGACACTGCCCGTCACAAAAAGTAGTATTCAATTTGAGTGAAAATTTATTTTGAGAAGTATTAGTCGATTGGAAAAAATAAATGATCTGCCAAAAATCATACTATTTTACATAGAAAATATCTAATGATGTGGGCTATTTTCCACTAGAATTATATATTTCTTATATTATCTATCTAAAATTATTTCATAAGATTAATTAATACGTTGGCATATAGTGATAAACAATAATGTCACTACTCAAAACCTATCATAATCAGTTTCAGTGTTCGACGAACTTACAATACCTAACGTAATTGAAACCTAAAAATAATGGTGAATAACTAATTGAATTATGAAAGAACAAATCTTAAGAAAAATGTTGCTTACTAATGTGGGTTGTTTAGAAAAAAAGTGTAATGGCTTGAAATTTATGAATCAAACTATAAAATACCCTGTTTTAACTACTTATCTTCTTAAATTTTGCAAACAATGATATATCTAGAACAGGTTTCTGTATAAAATAATTCAAATATTGTACATACATGGTTCACGAGTTTTATATTTAATACAGTCCATTCACGTTACTCATAGTCATTCTCAGTTTTAACACAATAGTTCATATACAGTTAAAGTACAAATTGGAAATAACTGGGATTACTATTTCACTATAAATTCAATGGTTACTAAGACTTATTTAATATGAATGCTACTTGTCCTCTATTACCTTATTTTTTATTATGAGAATGTAGTGAGTATCTTCTCTGTTTTAAAAAGCGATTTCACAGTTTCTGAGACCAAGTTAACCAAACTTAATGAAAATATAACACTTTTAAAACTAAATCGATGTTTATTAATAAAACCAATAACTAATAACCAATAAATACGGCACTGACCTTGAGACTCAACACTACCATTTCCACAAGCATCAGAATGCCATTGAAATGCTTTTTGTAAATCACGAATTTCTGGTCCTGAATATAAATAGCCAAGTGCTGTTTGAGCTGAAATGCAAGCTTTAGAATCACCATTGTTCGCAGCAAATAAAAAGCACCTGAATTCATTTGAGAAAAAAATTTTGAGACCATGTAGCTAATGTGTTGGCAATACTGGTAAGGAATATTAGTCTATAAATAGAAGTACTATATTTTATGTAATAAAAAGATTCTTGTTAGTCAAAAGTCCAAGAACTGATAAAACGTTTAGTAAAAATGGAAAATCGAGAAGTATGAACACTTGCAAGAGAACGTGTTGGGTACATATATTCGGTAACTTAGTAACAGATAACTGAACCCACACCAATAAACAAGTGTTTATTGAAATACCAAGTGTTATTAATCTGTATGATCAAGCGAAATGGAAATCGACGAGAAAGCCTAGTACTGTAGTGAACAGAACACGGGTGGGGAACAATTGAATGTAGTTAGCAACAAATTACAGAACTAGTTAGTAAAATCTAACAACCATATAATAAATGCTCAGTTTGTAAAATGTCCATCATTTGTCTGAAATAGCTCAGACTTCCTTTGTTCTTGCATTTTTATACAAGTTGCGTTCTGTTTTCATTCTTTACTGTTCGATCTTCTTGCCTCTCTGCTTCCAGACATTCTGTTCACGGCTAACATTATATACTACTTATGTCTACATAAGTAGCACACACCACAGTACTTGGTCACTAGTTACTTCTAATTATTCCTTGTATCTAGTAAAACTAGGTAATGGATACCATCGAAAATCTAAGATTTCAAAGAAAGTAAATGCCTGTTTAATTATTTTCAAATTTTTGTAAACTGATAAAGTTCAAACAAATAACGTGGATATCATACATTCAGTTAGTTTCCTCTCATCGTGCTAGTATGGTATGGCAAATTGAGGCAACTATGATCTGTCTTGGGCTGTACGTAAAGTGACACTCGATTTTTAATGACTGAAACGTTATTTATAAGCTTTAGATATATTTACATGAAATCGATAAGCTACTATTTTATAAATCGACTATAACAAGACTTGATGGTTAGATTCACCATTAATTAAATTCTATCCAGTGTTTGAACGATTTTTGCATCACGTTAAAACAGCGATTTAGAATTTAATATTTATCTGAATATCTTAGTTGAAGCTCCAATGTAAACCATAAGCCAACGTATTAATATTAATTTTTATTATCAGTAACAACTATCGAGTTGGTAGATGTACAAATTTTTCTAAATAAAAGTACATCCTTTACAGTAATATTTGTACTAACCTAAAAATTCACAAGCCAAAAGTTCAACGAAAATCTGATATCCGATCTATCGGATACCAAAATAAACCTTTTCTTCCTAACCAAACGATCATTATACATCCATCTAACTTTCGATTGCCTAATATTTTATTCCAAAAGAATTAGGAAGATGCTTCTGACTGGCAAAACAACTTCGTTCAATACAAAATTGATTCTGAGCGGAAATCGATAAATAAATATTCAAATTTACGAAACTATTTTAGGTTAGCATGTCACTTTATTATTAGCCTTTTTTGGTTGCTGAATAAGTTCTTCATAAATAGATAGAGTTTCTTCATTTTTGATCAAATCATGAGCAAATAATATGAGTTATCTTTTATTTGTCTCTGAAAATTTGTAACCTTTGAGTATTTAATTTAAATAATAGTTATCTAAAACTCCCCTTCTGAGTTATTGGTTTTAGTCACTTGGCTATTTTGATTTTATTGAATTATGAACTGATACCAGTTGACGATATTAAAAATGGTATATTGATTGTTTTATTTTGGGAAAGGTTAATTACAAAACGTTATCACTAAACACTAGTAACAAAAGCCATATCCATTGCACAACATTAATGAACCTACTGTTAAAATCCTTATCCGATCTAGGTGAATAATGTTTTAGGGTTTTCCTCTAGCAGTGAAAATATCTGATTTGATTAAGAGTTTGTCATGTGAGTGGTAATTACAAACTTCTTCTGTGTAAAGAGTGAAAAACTATATGGTATTCAGTGGAAAAACTGTTGTCAGAAAAAAAGGACTTAGGTTCATGTTAATTTTATTTGCTGTACCGTAAATATTTCTCATGGAGAGTACAAAGGTAATAAGTACTGATCACTTTAATCTCGGTTAGAGCATCAAAGTTAAAATCCGAATTACCATAAATGATAACTTAAGAAGGAATGAATTCATAGTCTATGGTATTTTATCATTTACTTAATTTGAATAAAAATAGTGTAGCATACCATATTCATCCATTTTTAATAAACAGTAAGATTGTTTTAAGAACAAAACTAAATGTTCAACGACTTCATTTTCTGATGCCTTTTTATGATCACCCTCGTTTTATGATTTTCACTGTTAAATTTCTCAGCGCGGTTATTTTTCATTTTCTTATAGCATAGGTTCAAGGTACCAAGATATAAATGACGACGATCAAAAGTATTTGATAAGTAAGCATATTCCTTGAAGAAATAAGTAGCACGGGTGAGATCGAGTGCTTTCATAAATTATATATACCAATTTATCATTTATTCATAAACAAAGTAGTATAAAGCACTAGTCTATGTCACTCCCAGTTAACTAAATAAAAATTGTTATGGTAAAAAGTTGAACATAATATTTTACATGATTTGGGAAACAAAATAATGGTAAGATCTAGATATATCATAATTACTTCGAAAAAATAATAAAATTAATGATAGAGAAGTACAAATCAGTAATATTATACAAGAATTGGAAATTGATAAGGAATTCATTCACTTATGCCATAGAAAACATTTTCGAACCATGTCATCCAAAGTCTCCAAGTCTTGATTACTTTTTTTTAGCTTTTCCTAATAAGCAGGATTGCACACCTCAGCATGGTTCAGTCCAACCACTAATAAACTTTGGTGGTTGGTACATCTGTTACACATTTCTGACCACCTACTGCCTCGGCGTGAGACATGCAATAGTGTTGGAGTGGGCCATAAGAAATCCAAGGGCGGTCAAGTCTAGGCATGGAGTCAGTTCAGAAAATCGCTAACTGATATTCAGAGCCATTTTGTTAGGTACTTACTAGAAGAGGAAAACACTACTAAGAGCGACTGGAAAAGAACTAGAGAAGCAATAAATTTAACAGGTCAGAAAATTCTGCACTCCAAGAACCACCAGAATAAAAGATGAATCTCTTTAGATAGCCTGTAGAGTACCTTAGAAGTTGGTCACTGTCATACAAGACTCTAGCAAGGGGCTGAATTCTGGAGCCATGCTCAGAAGGGACCTCACAGATGAATTTCGAGTGAGGACTAGTGTTGAACAAGACTACCTACTCTCTTACTTTCTCCTTGTTTTGATAATTGACCAGATAATGTAGATCTCCACATTTCAGGCGAACCACAGGATACAGTAAACATCTTGGACACAGATGCATGATTTGGAATATGAAAATAACAGCCTTGCTATCATATCCACAACATTAAACATAGAGAAAGTCAGTCTATAAGCAGCTTCTGCGGCAATAAATCTCAACATTCACGAGATAAAAAAACTAGATTCTGAAACACGATAAAGTGAACACCATCTTAATTACACCTGATGGCGAAGCTTTAGAAGAGTTATAAGCATTTATACACTAGAATAGCATCAATGATAAACAAAACAACCTGATGTATGTGTGAAAGTACTAATTAGCAATGCAAGAAAAACATTCCTACAGTTGAAGGGTTTATAGAATTTGAAAGAACTGTCACTCAACTCCAAAGTCAAAACTTTCAACACTAATTTTAAAAACATCCTATCGTAAGAAAATGAAATGTAGAAAACTTCCATCACCACCAAAAATTTACAGGTATTTTTCGACAACTGTCTACGTAGCAAACACAGTATTCAGTATCCACATATTATGAAGAATAATCTATGCTAGCACAGAAAAAACCAGCCGTCACTTGAGGAAAAAAATAGGAAAGTATGCTGAATGTGGATTGGACAAACTATAGAAACCATCCAACTGAACGAAAATCCGAGCTCTAACTTGAAATACTCAAAAGAAAAGACAAATAAACAGACAAAAAACACATTGTTCTTGGGATCTAAAACATACATCAAGTTCGGGTAAGAAATTAACTCTAGAAACAGTGTGTTAATACGCATTGATCTAGAAATGGTCACCAGTATTCTGTCGGTGGTACGTCTCCTCCATGTGTGTAGGAACGAAATGACTTAGAAGAGATGGTATGCGACTACTTGAAAGTAAGTGTTTATTGCAATCCATCACCTGATAATCAATGCATTCATTGCGCCAGATGCAAACAAAGAATATATATAAAACATTCATTTACTTAGATCTTCATTCCTATAATAACACCCACTGGACACACCTCAAAGCATCTTTCGTAGATAAACATACTCCACAGCCTTGGTAATATGCTCTTCCAAGATTAAAGGCTGCACTAAAAACCAAGTTTCTTTGGTCGACGGGTGAAGCTATTTGGACGTTCAAGGTCATAATCTCCCTAAAAAATTCACAAGCTTTAGCCTAATGGAGTAACTATGAACATGTAAACTACTTCTGGGTTTGAAACTTTTGTCACTTCTTTACTGACTAAATTGTCATACAACATAATACCGAGTTGAAACTTCGATTTCTGATCATTAAACTTTTCATAACCCATTCGGAAGTAAGTCCACGCTTCGTCATATTTCTCCTGATTTTTCATTTAAATTCTGTCTACCGTGGTTACCTTCTCGAAGTAAATCTGACCGAGATAGAATGCACATTGCTCATCACCTTCATCTAACCATTTTTTCAGTAATGTTTCCAAATTTTCACTAACTATGTGACGATTGAAAATTTTTTCAGTTTTGAGCGTGCCATCTGAAACCACATTTGTCGCTGTTTTAGAAGACAAAAATTTTATATCTTCATGACGAATACTTTTAGGAAGACCACTTAGTAACTCCATTAATTAAAATATTGGGTGATTGTAATAGAAACAGAAGCTGAAAACCGATGCATTAAAAGCATCTAGCGGTCAGTTTTAGGAATAAGAGGTTGGTTGGCCTGTGGTAATGATGCATTTATGCTAAACGAGGAGTATTTTGCACATGATTCCGAGATTGAATTTATTTTCAAATTCAATAACTCCAGCTTTCCTCACTGGATTCTCACGAACTTGATACTGGTTTGAACTGTAATCATGACTGTCATTAGTTCTGTTATTTTCGGCGATCATACTAGCATTAGGATAGAGCCTGTTCTTAAATAGTTTTTAGCAGTTAATAAATCTCAAAAATAAATAGTTCTGCACGTCTTCGACACTGATGCTGACCTCAATGGTTTTACTGGTCACACTCAAGCTGAGGGCGCTCAGTCACGCATCACACCCGTTCACGAATGGGTACACTGTGCTTCTCAATTCATCGACAGGTTTCCAAATGTATCTTCAAACCCCTTCATTTCTGACAGTTTATTTGACTGAGTTGGCATACTTCAATTTTAAGCGTTGTAAAACTCCGAATATTTGTGACATATTTAGAGTATTTGCATGAATATCCTACCAACATTTTCACTGTTTCCTCCCATTTAATAATCTCACTTAGGTAATATCTTGTTTGCAAATATAAGTTTCAAATTGATCATGATTGTAAAAATGGCATGGTCTGATTTGTATTATAATTATTATTCGTATCGTTATTCATTTTATGCGTGCAAATTCACCCCCTTTTATATTTTATTACGCGCCAACCTAAATGAGTAACTTGTTATAGTTGTAGTGACCTACTTTTGTCAACAGAACGTGATTGGTTCAATGAAAACAATTATTGCTATAACCAATTGTACCAGTGATTGTTTTACTGTGCTCGTTTGTTTAACTGTGCTAATTAGAGCCATATTGGACTACGGGTATCTTATTGGTTAATTGGCACGTAGTCTTCTTGTAGTGGTGTTCATAATCCATCGCGACTCGATTCCACGCTACACAGTAAATCATGTAACTATTAAAAGCTGTCATGCGATCTTTAACAAACTGTTATATGGAAATAAATTACTATTTGTATCAGGGTCCACAATGTGAGTCAGAACAAACTTTTCTGGTGTTCGGAATTAGATTTAGTCGACAGATCCACTGAGAAATTATAAATCATTGAAATTTAGATCTGGAACTATAGATTTTCCAACCCTCCTCACCACAATTTTCGTGGCTAAACGAAAGTCTTCCCTTGATAATTTATAACTCTTACAAAATCTAAACTCTTCATGCTCGAACGCACAATCTAAACCTCTAACATTTCTGGCGGAGCATCTTTTGTTGCCGAATGTTTGGCATTTTTACACTGCAGCAGAAATGTGTCAACTTCCTTCCTCAGCTCATCGAATGTTGCAGAAGCAGTCTAATTATTGGTGATTTGTAACGTCCTGAAGAAATTTCATGCTTGACAATTACAACAAGCGTGTTTGGGGGCAGTAAATAATTATTTAGACTCTATACCATTCAACCAGGTAGTAACTGCACCTGAGAAAATAAGAGCCATGATCAGTCACTATTACCTTGTGAATCCCTTTGAGAATGAGGTTCTTTCACAGTGCTTATATAGTGACGATAGAACTGAATGAAGTTGTGAAAAAACATCAGGTCACTTGAACTTAAATCACTGACTATACGTTTAAATTTTGTCCTGTAAATTGAATCACAGAAGCTATACGAATTCACTCCCAGTCTTAAAATGATACTGAGCATGAAGTTCACTTTGAAGAATGCTTTTTCGGCTTGCGAAATACCTATTTGTTGTTTGCTGTGCGGCACATGTCTGTATTTATTTACGATTTCCTTTTTTCACCTCTCAACTGTTCTTTGTAAAGATCCATAAAAAGGATTTACATAATGAAGTGAGGATAACAGCATGATAGTTCAAATACAAAATATTATCAGGAGCAGTCGACAACTCAATTGGCTTGGTGAAAGCGACAGAAAACATTCGAGTCAAATTATCCTCCCAACCTTTTTGTATAGGAACAAGTATACATCAGAAGTTATAACGAGTTTCTCTAATGTGATCTCTATAGCTCACCTATGAAGGTTGCATTAGTAAACACACCATATTATCAGCATGTTCATCTTATCGTAACTGATGAGACACATCATTTGCACGCTGGGTTTGTTTAATGCTTTTGTGCTGAATGGTAGCACTCAAAGTAATACCGCTTAGCTAAACCGTAGCAGCAGAAAAATGTTAAGTTTCTTGCAGGATTATTAAGGAACTTTTCGGTTTTGTGATCTGTACCAATAGTGCATTTCTTTTCAAATAAATACCGATGAAGTTGGCCTAGAACCGTTACCATCAACTAACCATCCAAGATACTTGAAACTAGATACAAACAATGAACAGGTATTTTAATTTACGAGGATATATTCTCTCAAGCGGATCACTCATTAAGTCTCTGATGACGAAGATATTTTTCAGGACCATCAATACAATTGTCATATCGATAAACTTCAATACATTTAAGATCTTTGAATAAATTACTCATCACTTATTGGAATATGGCTGCCTAACAGGTAGTTGTATTTAAAAAGGCTGAAAGAAGTGTTAATCGTTGCCAAAACAGACGAAGACAGATCAAAGGGGATTTAAAAATAAATACAATACACATAAAAAAGAAAAACAATTGAAGCACAATGTTGGGACAGCGACGAGTAAAATTTGAAGTGACAAAGTTCATCAAGTGGCAAATATCAGTGTTTTGTGACATAGGCACTATGTGTCAGTCGGCTATTTATTCACAGGATTTGACGTCAGATGGCCGATTGTTGAGTGGGCATCGGTCTCAGTAAGTCATATTGAGAATGTAGAAAAGTTCAACTTGATCCATAAAGCAGTTAGGGGTAGATATAAATTGGGTAAGCGTTTGATTATGCCGCGTGTTTGCTGATAACCTATTTCAAACGCCCGCGTAAGAAATTTGACTTAAATTTGCTCGGTGTCCTCGTTATCTTCTGTACAACATCCTAATTCTGAGGTTAAGAATGACCTTTTTCGCAAATTTTGAAATATCACAGTTTACTGTAGTTCCATTATACAGAGTCTAAAAAAGTATGGTAAGCTTAATTGTAATTCGTCTGCACTATGGTGGATCCAGTTGCCGTGCTTCATTTTTATCTTTATGAGATAGGTCTAGCGTGAGAGGCCTTGTAAAATAGCGTTGTACTTCCTCAATTTTCTGGTGGACTGGTAAACACACGTGACTAAATACGATTGAGCGATATTCTAGTGAGAGCCGAACACATAACTTATAGAAAAATTAGATTTTCTGACGTTTCGTGACTTAGTGTAAGTCACTTCTTCAGAGAATAAATAACCAAATTAAAACTAATCCAAGTTTAAATAATACAACGGAACAATAAGAATAATATGTGATCAGTCAAAAACAGGTCTGAACAAGTTAATGTCATGTCATTTCGGCCAAGGTGATTCCTAAGTGATATGTATGTCAACTCGTGTGTATGTATGTGTGTACAGTTTAAGGGTGAAAAATTGTGTGACATTTATGGTGAGAAAGGATAGAGCTTAATCTGTAAGATGATAGTGTGAATTGTAAATAAGATCAGACTGAATGGCTAGGATAGACAGTCCAAGTAGGATGTATGGTAAGGCCTTCTTTTCTACTGAGAGAAGTAGGATTAAGCATTATATGGAACGCTTCAACTACTCTCCTTTCTTCGTAATTGGAAAAGCCTTTTCGCAATATTTTGATATTTTTGAAATCAATTTGGTGGTCGTTGAAAATGGCATGAGCTGCTATTGCCGATTTACTTTGAAGTTTATCCAATTCTACGGGATTGTTAGGAGGTTTCTTTGTGTACCTAATATGCTACGAACTTCCGATATTTCCGGATCACACGAAACAATTATATTCATTTCTCACTGGTTTTTCCTCAATCAACGTTTAACTGGTTGTTCATAATGGTTTCTGCATATCGTTCTAAAGCACTGCCGTGACCTGACGACCACGTAACATGATTGATAAAATGGATTAAGCTATTAACAAACCCAGTTGATAAATTGATTTATAATAATCATTAATTGGTGTTTCTTTCCGTGGTTATATTCATCTATTGTAGTTGATTTCAGTGTGTTTCTCTATCACCTGCTTATTTGTTAAACATCTTAGAAAATCTCCGGTATAATAAGAGGTTAAGTGACGCAATCATGCATCCAAATCATTAGTATAAGCAGTCGAGTAAATCGCTGCTAACTGAAAACACCACTGTCGAATTATCCCATCACTGAGAAAGGTTCATGTCATTATGGTATATATGAGTTAAAGTTATACTCCACTTGGTTACAACTTATGCTCTCACTGATAACAACGTGAGCAGCACTCATTGTTGATCATTTTGTGAAGGTTTATTTAACCGAAAGCACCATACAACACCGCGTCACCTACACCTGTGGCACATATAATCACTCAAGTTCATGCAAATCGATCTATATATTGATCCAATCTCGATAATTGCAACTAGCCTGTATACACCGTTAACCTGTAAGTATGAATAAAACAAATGGTCTATTGTAAGTCAGAACATTGAGTCTAGAGCATCTCACGGATGAATTTTTCGTGCCTGTAGGTAACCCTTGTTCTATTGATAGAATGAACCAGACTAGTGGTGTATAGGTCTTTATTTAGCTCGTCGGACAGTCACAGTGGAGTGAGAGGTTACCTGTTCAAAGACACAAAGCTTTTTAACATTCAATATAAGATAACTGGAAATATAATACCTATACGAAATAACTGAGTGAATGAATACATGAGCTTCATTGCTTTTACGTATATTTAGTTGTTTGAGGTCAACTCCTAACTAATCACCTTAAGTTGCTAGACTCATGTCCAACGAAGTACTGTCAGTTATCTGTCGGAAATGGACATAATTGTTGTCACTTTTACGTAACAAATGAAGTTTTG